ATCTTCATCTTCATCTTCATCTTCATCTTCATCTTCATCTTCATCTTTATCTTCATCTTCATCTTCATCTTCATCTTCATCTTCATCGTCTTCCTCGTCTTGGTCTTCATCTTTATCTTTTCCTTTATCCTGATCTAAATATGTCCATTCTTTTCTTCATTTACATATTCACCCCCACCATTGTCATTAGGTTAGGTATTTAAAATTTCCTTCGTCTTTGTCTTTATATTTAGGTTTCTTTACTTTTATTTTAATTTCTGTATTTATCCCTTTCTTCTCCTCCATACTCAACTTTACCTTTTCTTGTTTGAGTCTAATCTATTCATGTATGTACATTAGACTGCATCACCAAAAAAAGTTGCGGTTTTTAAGCCCGGATTATAAAATCTATTATATTTTAAGACGTCCACCAAAATATTTGGGAAAAATATTAAGATTTAAGCGAGCTGGACCAATTTGAAAATACCTCCAAAATTAGGTTTTGTATGAATAAAAATAGCCTTGTTCTGGCCAATATTATGTAGAACACCGCAGGCAACAATAATTGACATAGTCGTTTCTACAGAAACACTTAATTCAACAGATAGTATTGAAAACCGATGCAGTTTCTAGTTCGGATTTGCGACTCATGGTATAACCGTTCTGCAGCAGTGTTAGGATGTAAAAGTGAGGTCGTCATATATTTGCTGACAGCATAACCACTATCGCCTAATATAAAGCAGTCTTTAAAATTATTCTCTTCGAAACGATGCTTAATACGGCTGTTGTTAAAAATGTTGCTATTATGAGCAGAGCCAGGCCACCTGCACACCAGATCCATAATTTCTAAATTAGCATTACAACATCGCTTGTACGTTAAGGGAAAAATACCCCTTCCGATTTCGGAATATTTCGGCATTTTCCACACTAGGCGATTGTACTCTAACATGGGTACCATCGATACATCCCACTACTTTCGGGAATTTGGCAATTCTGTGGAATGCCCGGTTAGAATTTTCAATTTCGTTTCGGGTTTTCGGCATTTTAATAAATTCTGGGGAAAGTCGTGCAATGGCATTCGACACTTCTTTAACAACGCGGCTAGCAGTGGACATATCATCTTCACAGAAATCGGCAACAGTTATAGGAAGCTCCCTGGGCTTAGGGCGTGGTTTCTGGAAAATCAGGTGAAGGGATAAAAAGAATGAAGCTTACCTTATATATTATAAATCCGAAAGTGGGTTTGTTTGTTTGCTACGCTTTCACGCTTTAGCTATTCAACCGATCATCATGAAATTTCGTACTCTGCTGTTATTTACCCCAACTTAAAATATAGGATGCAATTAATCTCGATTAGGCAAGAGGGTGTGGCACCTCCCATACAAACGGAATTTTTCAAACTGCATTTCTCAGGAAATATTTTTGGTAGATTACTGGAACTTGGTATGGAGATATATAAAATCATTCTCTACTCATGGATGAGGGCTACAACCTTTTAAAAAATCTAATTCAACTTCAATTAAGGGAGTTATTTATTTGAAAATTATATTTAAAAAATGGATGCTGTAGTTTAATATATTTTGAAAAGGCTTGCCACCTGTTTGAAAAATAAAATTTAAATTAATTATACGCAAGCCATCTGAAGAATTAAAATATGGCTGTGAACCAAAATATTGTTAGTTTTAAAGTTTTGAATAATATTGAAGTCTTTCACAAGGGTAGCCACCTTTTTAAAAATTCATCTTAATTAGTTTAAATGAAATATAATAATACTAGCAGACCCGGCGAACTTCGTCCCGCACAAAATAATTTTTTTATTGAAACCTTTTGGTCCAACATTTTCACCAAAAATTCACGTTTACGATTTCCATCGTACGCTCATCGGCTAAGATTGTGGTTTGGTGGTCGTTTTCCGACTTAAATAACCTAACGAAAGCGTTATGTCCGTGTTGAAGTTCTTGAAATTCTCTAATTGTGTAACATTTCATAGAACGGTTAATCTCACAACGAAATAACTTCACTCCCTGGCGGCAAAAATGATCCGGTTCTATAGTAAATCTGTCCAAGAAACTTTATTGTATAGTTGATGGCAATTTCAAAATGGATGCGTATAATTGTTCTACAGAAATCTAATATACATAGACTCATTTCAGACGAAATACCTTAAAAGTAAGTTTCTCGAAAGCAATTTAAGAGAAAATAATTTTTTTTATTTGAATTTATTACAGTAAAAGGCGCGCGATGGTTTTGGCGGTTGATTTATCGATGGTGATTTGAGATTTACCCCTGCACAACTCAACCCTGGTAAATGAATTTTTCCATTACACATACACTACGTATAATGGAAATATTCAATTCAAATACGCCCGTATTAAAATTAAGCAGTTTTCACTGCACGGATGGCGTTTTGCACGTCTTGGATGCTTTTTCATATGTAATTAAGAAAGTATATGTATGTATGCAAGGCTAACACAGCGGTGACAGCACATACACATACATGATATGACATGACATAATGCACTAATCGCACGCTATGATGTTGATTCAAACTCAACATTTTAAAGCACATTTACTTCGCCCAGTTGTCGATATTCGACATCTTTTTTCATACACTTTTGAATTTTAGCTGTCACCAATACTACATCCATTATGCGAATTACAATTTTGAAGTCCGCCAGCATAATTTATAGCGAATTTACAGGAAAACTTAAGATCGAATTATGTACGTTAATACCGGATTGATTAATATACCCTGCAAACAAACTCCCCCGAAATATTTAAGATTTCGAAAATTTGTTACGATTCGTTTAGGAATCTTTAAAGAAAAACATATGAAGCGGTTGACAAGAACCAGTAAAGAAATTTCTGTACGATTTCTTAAAGAAAATTCTTAAAAAAATTGTGAAACCTTTCAGAATGCTCTGAAATCCTGGTATGCTGGGTATACATATACATACAAATATGAATAGATAAAGAAGCTGCTATTGACACAAGGAGTTCATACCAACGGTAAATGTTGTTTTTGTACGATTGCTACATGAATCATGACCTTATTCCCAATGACATCAATACTGCGAAATCAGGTGTAAAATAAGGGTTGTGCCATACAATTTCTATTCCTTACAAGTTTCATGCATTAAATGTTAAGACTTACGATCATATTAAATAAGGCTTATATAAGACGCAAATTTTTTGGTGGGAGTACATTTAACGCACACATTCTCACTTGTTGAATCGTTTAAATGTGTTAATATGCCGACCGCTGCTATAAAGTGTCTAGGGCAGATTCCCTATAGAACCGGATCATCGTTGCTGCCAGGGAGTGAAAAGAAAAAAATCCTTCAAATTTATTTCGTTCTGCGATTAACCGTGCTGTGAAATGCTGGACAATTGAAGAATTTCAAGAACTTCTGCACGGACATAATACTTTCGATAGGTTATTTAAAGCGGAAAATGACCATCAAACCATAATCTTAGCAGATGAATGAAAATGGGAAACGTGAATTGTTGGTGAAAATGTTGGACCAAAAAGTTTCAATAAAAAAATCAATTTTGGGCGGAACGAAGGTCGCCGAGTCTGCTAGTATTTGTATAAAAGAGGGGTTGAAATTGCATATTATGGAGAACACAATTTTTTAAATCGCTATATCTCACAAACCATACCATTTTTCTGAAAAATACAAAAAATAAATTTATGTGACTTTTGACCATGAATAAATATTTTTGCAGATGTGAGATGGATGGAGATTTTTGCTACTTAATTTATAATGGTATTTGCAACAATCGTGTCAACTTTCGACTTTATGCGAATTAATGTGACCTTGAATGTATAACTTGACCGGGCTGAATAATAATAATCGTTTTAACCCTTCCTTTCATTTCTTTCAGGTTCCTGGCGCCTTGGTTGGGTATTATGTGACATTTGGATATCACTGGATGTGTTGCTATGCACGGCGTCTATATTGAGCCTCTGTGCTATTAGTGTTGATAGGTAAGGGAAACTAAATGCAGCGGTGCTATGCTTGAGCGATTTCAAAAGTATTAAGAATAAAAACAGTAAATTGTAAAATTGTAATTAGCAACATTTGCCAAAACCGTGGAGTTTACATTATAAATGAGTGCTCATACAAAGTGAAAACCCTTTTATATCAAGGCATTTTGGAACCTAATTTTTGAGATTTTTAATTTGGTGTCCTTTGCTGCAGGTACTTGGCAGTTACGCAACCTTTGACATACTCACGCAAAAGGCGCTCAAAGCGTTTGGCATTCTGTATGATTTTGATTGTCTGGGTGTTGGCATTGGCTATCACCTGCCCACCAATGCTAGGTTGGTAAGTATGCACTTAAAAGGAGTTCTATTAAGTATTTAAATTGTAAGCATGGTAAAGAATATAATATATACGAGCGCAGATGTACTAAACCTTACTGCAAGCGTCATTATGGCGGTATTACGAAATAATGGAAACGAAACCAGACCGAATGACATTCATATTCTAAATCACTATGTAGAGAACAGAGGTGGCTCCGTCATTGGTAACGTTAATAAGGTACCAAACTAAAAAAAAAAAACACACATTTTAAATGTACTGCAATTTTCTTTTGCCCCGTGTTTTAATATAGTCCTAATTTTGCATTTTTTATACATCATATATGTTTACAATTTAACAAAATTAAACCAGATTTCTTTTCAAAAAGTTAAATTTTTAACATAAGTTTACGGGTTTGACAGTTTCTTCTATCTTGTGTTCCATTGCTTCTAAATGAAGTCATTATTCGTTGTAATAAATGGTGCATTTTTTAAATGCACTATTACAACAATATATACATGTAATCACCAATTCCGAGATATTCTTTCATAGCCCAGTAAAATTAGACTTTATCTCAAAAAAAAATTGTAACAGCGATTTTTTGATGCAGTTTACTTCTATTTGATACCTAGATCACGGATCCATAGTCTTGCCCCTAAATTTCATTCCGCCATCTTGAATTAAAGTTTTTTGGTTTTTTTTTGCGATTTGCAAACTTATTTTGCATTTTTGTTAAAAAATGGTTAAATTCAAATCTGTAGAGAATTTAATTTTCCACATTTGTCATATAGAAGGTTTTTTGAAAATAGCTTTTTTTATTGTAAATAATTAGCAAAACCTGAGAAAAAATTTTACTTTGTTATGGTTTTCGCCATTTTTCGACAATTTCTGTTGAAAATACATAGCATATTGATATTACAAAGTTGTAGCGAATTTGAGTCTTCACAACTTTTATACCTAAATTTTTTTTATGACGCTTAGATCACGGTCGGGAACGTGCCAAACATAGCGATTAGCCCAGTACAATTAGATAGATTTGGTAGGAAAATTAAAAAATATTTGTAACAGCGATTTTTTGATGCAGTTTACTTCTATTTGACACGTAAATTATGGATCCACAGTCTAGTCCCTAAATTTCGTTTGGCAACACTCCGCCATCTTAGATTTAAGTTTTTTTTTGGGTTTTTGCTATTTGCAAGCTTATTTTGCATTTTTCCTAAAAAATGGTTACATGCAAATATGTAGAGAATTTAATTTCCCACATTTGTTATATAGAAGGTTTTTTAAAAATAGCATGTTTTATTGTAAATAATTTGCAAAAACTTACATTGTCACGGTTTTCGCCATTTTTTGACAATTTCTATTGAAAATACATAATGAAAATGCATATTGAAATTCCAAAGTTGTAGAGAATTTCATTCTCCACAACTTTTGTACATACATTTTTTTTGTACGACGCTTAGATTACGGCCGGGAACGCGATAAACATAGCGATGTGCGGGATGCGCCGTAAAACTCATTTCCACACCACCGCTGAGGTAGAGTTTTTCGGCGCGTTTTTTTAACATGGTTTCCCAGTAGGCCTAATCCACGGGCAACGTTTTTTTTAATGAAAGCAGGTGAAGTAAGGTTAATTTTCATCAGAATCTTGTTCGTTTTGTAGGATAAGTTGGAAGATTTAAGTCATCTTCATTGTCTTTAGACTCCCAGCTTTGTAGCTCAGCATCTGTCTCCTCGTCAAGTTCTGTGCTATCGTTCACAAGGTCCTCGTCATTGTCGTCGTCATCTACCTGGGTGCTCGGAGTATTGGTGCAGGAAGTGACGCCACATTTCTCGCAAATTAGCGTACAATGCGGACTGAATCCAAATCTTTGAGCTTTCTTTCGTGATCATTATCACCTCTTTCGATACTCACGGACAACAGTTTTGTAACGCCCTTCTCCTGAACAATTGAAATTTTACCACTATCTAAAGATTTTTCACATATAAAGCACTTCTCCATTCCAAACACTTTCACCTCGAGCCAGGCAGAGCTGGAGTTTATTTTGAACACAAATTGATAAAAAAAAATCCCGAAAAACGTGACCAAAATGGTTACCAAATAGTTTATTTTAATTATTGATATAAGACACCCGAAGGACATACACTAAATAAGAACGCATTTATATAAAGACACTATGAAATTTAAGTATCAAAACGCCTATACGATTTAAAATACTCGCACATATGTTCATTGATGGGTCAAATACTTCATAATTTGAAATCAGCGCTTACTATGATACAAAAAACAATTATGAGAATTATTTTAAGAAGGTTTAAATGTTAAATTCTTCATTAACTAATGATTTTGTTTCGAAATTAAATCAGGGTGGTGGGTTAGTTGTACGTCTGAAACAATTCGCGTATTCGGATATACAAACAAGTAAGAAAGTCTAAGTTCGGACGGAGCCGAACATTAAATACCCGGCGCGAGTATTAAATATATGATTTTCACATTTCCGAAAGCTGCCGCTACATGGTAAGCCGGGGTGTATCACTTTTGAGTAAATTAGCGTCCTTAAATTTCGAAATATTGAAGTTTCAAGCATTTCTGAAATTTACCGTTATATGAAAAGCGGCCATAATCTTAGTCCGATTTCAATTATTTTCAACGCTTTGCTTTTACGTGGCAAGCACAATAACCATACCGGGTTTGGTACAAATTGGTAAAACGCTTACTGAGATACATATATGTGATCATAAGTGGGCGGTGCCACGCCCATTTTCAAAAATTGTATCATAAAAGTATTTCCTCTGGTAAAGAATTGTTGAAGCATCAATTTTTAATAAATTAGCTTTAATATTTACTGATTTATTGAAGATTTTGTATGTGGTCGTGGTTATCGTCCCATTTTGAAAATTTTCGGCCATTTGATGTGCTGTAAGGCCAACAACTGTGCCAAGTTTGGAAGAAATTGGTGCAGCGGTTACCAAGATATACACATGTAAGCACAAGTGGGCGTGGCTACGCACATTTTCCAAAAATTTATAATATTCTTATTTTTCGTCTAAAATTTATTGTAAATATCAATTTTGAGTGAATAATTTTCAGTAGTGACTAAAACATCGCAGTTTTCGTATTTCTGAAAATTACCGTTATATGGGTTACAGTCCGATTTCGCCTATTTTCTATACCAACCTACCTTGGATAAATTCAAACCTACATACCAAATTTCGTTGAGATATCTCAATTACGATACAATAATCAATACAGACGGACAGACGGACGGACAGACAGATCATTTCTGTATACATTTGTCTATATCTATCTCGATTCGTTTTGGCTGTTCCAAACAACCGTTATGTGAACAAAGTTAATATACCCTTGTGCACAAGTGCGCTCGGGTATAAAAATTTGGATAGAACTCCCAGCCCTAGTTAGTTTAAATTTTGGAGTTATGTGTTTTGATATACGGTATGAGAGTATGTCGGCCGCTGTGGTGTAGTGGTAAGCAGTGCGCGCTTCCACTCCACAATGCCTGGGTTCAAACCCTGGTCAAAGCAACATCGCAAAAATATAGAAAAAAGGTTTTTTCTTAACAGCGGTCGTCCCTCGGCAGGCAATGGCAAACCCCCGAGTGTATTTCTGCCATGAAAAACAGCTTCTCATAAAAATACAATCGCCGTTCGGAGTCGGCGTAAAACTGTAGGTCCGTCCGCTTTGTGTGACAACATCAAGGCGCACGCCACAAATCGGAGGAGAAGCTCGGCCAAACACTAACATATGTGTAAGCGCCAATCTATTATTATTATTATGAGAAAAGATGAAAATAAACATCAAAACCCAAAACTCAACTGTAGTGCTAACTATCGGACCCAGTTGTGAGTATAAACCCTCCAGAAATCCACTCAAAAACATGGGTCCAGCCGCTTAGGAAGACATCAGTGATATACACACCCACAGAAGATTACCGGTGTTTTTAAACTGATCCGTCATTTTAATTTTTCAAATCTGATTTCAGATTCGTAATCAGAGACCTTAAGAACACTCGAAAGTTTTAAGCGAATCTAATCGATTTACATTTTTGTTCGCCTTATTGGGTCCGTCATTTTGAATTTTTCCAACCTGACCTCAGATTCGTAATAAGCAGCCCCAAGAACCCCAGAGGAAAACTTTACAAACAAATAGGATCGACTCAAATTTTTTGGCCGCCATATTGGGTTCGCCATTATGAATTTTTAAAATCATGCTCTATGTTCGCAATCAGCAACCTCAAAAACATAAGAAGCTACTGTTACTTTTTCTTTTTTAGTGTTGGGTTCTCCGGTGGCACAAAAAATGTGAAGCAAAATCTAATTTACGGTAAGTTTACACGCTATATTTGAGACGCCATGTTGAATTTTTGAAAAGCTCACACTGTTTTTAATGTAGGGCGTCTATATGATCATTTTAAGACCTTAATCGTTGTAATCCGTCCTATAAAATTTTGGCCATCGGACTAGGGTTGCCAGACGTACTGCTTTTGGGAGTAAACGTACTCCTTTTTATTGCAATGTACTCACTTGTACACCCAAAAAAAAATTTCTGGAAATGTACTCCCTTCTCAATTTTGTACATCTTTTGTACTCCTTTTTCCAGCTACTAATATTTTATCATGTACAGGGTGTAAATAAATAACTGTTGCACAGGTAAAAGTGGTCTTTATAGATTTTGCGGAAAAACTAGTTTATTATTAATTATCCACAAATTTTACTTAAATTTTATTGATTCGTTTTTAAATTTAACCTTCATTTGAGTTTACCAGCGGTAAACACTTTCAGACTTTACTTTAATACATATCTTCTGTAACCATAAGCTAATTTCCCCTCCTTTATACTCCGTCTTTTGCCCAACATAAGGCCCCATACTCAGCAATCGAAAAGACTCGGAACTGGTAACTAGGAGGCCATTCATTCGACCAACCCTATACAGTTTTTTTTTTATAAATACAAAGTCAAAGAAAAAATACAACTGAAAAAAACATGCACTTATCTTCCAAAGCTTG